GGCTCGAACTCCTAAACCGTGAGATCATCACCTGAGCCAAAACCAAGAATCAGATTCCCAACCCACTGAACCACCCAGGTGCCCCTGTCCTTTTTTTTTTTTTTTTTTTTTTTTTAAGTAATTCATTAAAAATTTTAATTCCTGGGGCATCTGGGTGGCTCAGTCAGTAAGCGTCCGACTTCAGTTCAGGTCATGATCTCGCAGTTCGTGAGTTCGAGCCCCGAGTCGGGCTCTGTGCTGACAGCTCGGAGCCTGGAGCCTGCTTCGGATTCTGTGTCTCCCCCTCTCTCTGCCCCTCCCCTGCTCATGCTCTGTCTCTCTCTGTCTCAAAAATAAATAAAAACATTAAAAAAAATTTTTTTAAACACTTTCTCTGTGCTGTGGGACCGCATCACCATTGGTTTTGTTTGTTTGTTTTTGTTTTTTTGTGGGTTTGTGTTTTTTGTAATAGAATTTCTGATTTAAGCTTTGATTGCCAGAGCATCCACTTCAAAGAGGGCTATCTGCATAAACACGGCTAGATAAGGAGCTGTCTCCCCCACCAGAGGCTTCTTTGTCTTAGAAATCTTAGGTGGCCCCTCGGGTGTCTCCCTCTCTCTCTGCCCCTGCCCTGCTCACACTCTGTCTCTACATTTCCAGAAGTGAGTAAATATTAAAAATATATATATTTTTAAAAAAAGAAATCTTAGTTGAATTCGATAACTGACCATTTAGGTCGCTTGTTTTGTTTTGTTTTGTTTTGTTTTCTCCCAAGCTTTCTAGTCACCAATAAAGAGTGAGCCCATGGGGCGCCTGGGTGGCTCAGTCGGTTGAGTGTTCGACTCTTGATTTCGGCTCAGGTTATGATCTCAGGGTCGTGGGACCGAGCCGCACATTGGCTCTGTGCTGACAGCGTGGAGCCTGCTCGGGATTCTCTCCGCCCCCCTCTCTCTGCTGTCCTTACCCACTCGCCCCATGCATGCACGCGCACACTCTCAAAATAAACATTAAAAGAAAAGAGCAAGCCCTCAAAACCCTAGGCCCCCACCCTCAGCCCCAGTGAAAGCAGAAGCCCAGGCCCTTGTACACGCGCTTTCTCTACCCGTGAGCTTGCTGCGTGATCCCAAATGTGCTGATCAAGTTCCTGGTCTGGTAAGCAATAAACCCGTATTTTTTTCAGTTTCTCGCCGGTCGTTGCTGCGGGCCACCTTGCAGTCCTAATGGGAACCAAAAGGCTGTCCCGACCACAGCATTGGTTATCAGTTAGGCCGAGACCAGACACAAAATACCCCTCGGTCCACGTAGCTCTTTTCATCCTGTAGGACCGAAACTCTGCCCCCTCAAACGCCCGCTCCCCACCACCCCCTCCATAGCCCCTGGCCCCCACCCGCCGCCCACCCACCGTCTACTTTTCGTCCTTATGAATGTGACCGAGTTCCGCATCTAAGCGCAATCGTGCAGTATCTTTCTCTTTCGTGACTGGCCTATTCCCGGAGCATAATGCCCTCAAGGTTCAATCCATGTTGCAGCAGGTGTCCGGCTTTCCTTGCCTTTTAAGGCTGAATAATATCCCACCGTGTGGGTGGACCGTGTTTTTCTCACCCGTCCATCCTTGGATATTCCGCTATGTGGATATTGTAATGCTGCTCTGAACACGGGAATACAAATAGCTCTTGGAGGCTTCCCTTTCTGTTATTTTGTGTGTATACCCCCAAGCAGAAGTGCGGGGTCGTGTGGTAATTTTTTTTGCCCGATGTTCACCTATATGTAAATTTTTGGGGAACCGCCATACTGTTTTCCACAGCAGCTAGATGCTATTGATGAGGAAGCATAAGGCAGGCTGAGTACAAGGCAGCACCCACCCCCGCCCCCAGGTGGGATCTGTGTGATATTCCTCGGACACTCCTGGCTACCCAAGAACAAAGGAAAGGGGTTTAAGTGCTTGCCGTGTGGGAAACTAAGGCAAGTGAAAAATTAACTTCCCTTACTGCCTACAGCCCATTGCCAAGTCCTGGAAACCAACAGAGTGACCTCCCTCTAGTTGCTCAGCTCCCTTGATGATGACACTTTGCTGGGGCAAAAGAGAACCTTGGCTTAACATTGTTCCAACCTCGAGGATCCTAGAAGTCTACTTCCTTTATGTCAGCTGCCCCAGGATATATGCTGGCAATCATGCTCCAAGCTTATGCCCCCCCATATGCATCTGAGGGGGGGGGTCTCATGACTGAGATTTTATTAAATGGTGATAAATGGTGTTTCCCTAGCAACAGCTAGCCCCTCAAGGTCCTGGAAACTTGGCTTCCAAAATTCCTTAGAGACATACTCTATCCCTGACCCCCTCCCAACCGGAAGGCATATAATGAGTTACCCTTCACAACCCCAGTGCAGCTCTTTCTGCCCAAGGGTCCTGTCCCCAGGCTTTAATAAAGTCACCTTTTTGCAAAGACGTCTTCAAGAAGTTTTTCTTTTCGATCTCCTGACTGCTGGGGGTAGAGGTTGATTCTCGGCCCCCCCCCCCCCAACACACACACACACACACACACACACACACGCCCGGGAAATGTCTGGTGATGTGGCTCTCACAGCCCATCCCCACGCCCACCATGGCTTACTCATCCTGTTTGGGGACCTGCTGAACTTGAAGCTGCTTCCTCTGGGCTGAAGTTTATTTGCAACACCCTCAGTACTTTCCGACTTGAAATCATTCATCTAAATTGATTACGCAATTACTTACCTGTTTTCAACTGGAATCCAAAAGCTGCTTTATTCACTCTGAGAATGCGTCCAATTCTCTTAAACCTCATACACACATTAACATTGACCACACGTCTACCTGCCTTGGCTTCAACATACAATTATTAAGACGATGCTTTTGAGTTTGTCGTCTGTAATTAAAAAAAAAAAAATTCTTTTAGCGTTTATTTCTGAGAGAGAGAGAGAGAGAGACAGAGCAAGTGGAGGAGGGGCAGACAGAGAGGGAGACACAGCATCGGAAGCAGCCTCCAGGCTCCAAGTGGTCAGCACAGGGCCCGACGTGGGGCTCGAACCCACGAACCACGAGATCATGACCTGAGCCGAAGTAGCCGCTTAATGGACTGAGCCACCCAGGCACCCTGAATTGTCATCTTCATACTTTGTTGTAAGCCTTCCTGAACTTGACAGTTGCTACTCGGCGCCCGATTTTACCACTGATGTGAGCAAAGGCAAATAGCATTTGTCCACTGCGTGGTCCTCACGGCCTTGCAACGCGTGACCCAGACCCGTGGCTCCCCTTCCACGTCCCCCGAGTGACCAGGTGCCATCAGCATGGATGCATTCACCACGCTCTGAAATCCTAAGATGTCTCTCTCTGCCAGCCACCCTATGACTCCAGATGTCCCCATTGTCACATGCCCAGTTTACAGCTCCCCACTCCCCACCCCCCCCCCGCCACTGTCCCTAGAGAAAGGGAGAACCAAGAGGTGGGGACCCTGCTCTGAAACACACTAGTCAAGTGCTCGCTTCGGCAGCAGGTACACTGAAACATACAAGTCATAACGTCCAGCGTGGCTGAACCGAGCCTGCCTCCCCAAGGGATGGAGAGACTGCATGGTGGTGCTAGCTGTGTGCCCGCCTGCTGACTCCCCCCAGCCTCCACCAGATGATGCTGGGGGACACCTCCCTCAGCAATGTTAGGGTCCCTTTCCCACTGAGTTGGGATTACCTTTACAGTGGGCTGAAATTGCTTGCTGACCAACGATTTTGCCCCAACCCCCCCCCTTCCCGCCGTCCCCACTCTGGAACTGGAGTCATCCTGGGTGACTCTTCTTTTGATCTTGGGGGTCAAGTTGAGCCCTATTTTATAGTCGCTAGATCTCTAGGGTCCCCAAGTGGGGGGGGGGGGGAGGGAGGGGCTCAGCGCATGTCCCTGGACTCAAAAGATGCCTAATCCTCACTTGACGTGTCTGCAACCCCAGCCTGGTTGGTGGAGTCCATCCGTGTCTGGAATCCATTCTGCGTCCTCAGTAGATAGTCAGGCCGCGGGTGTATGGATAGTTCATTGAATTCTGTACCTCACAGTGGTTTTTATCTGGCCGTCAAGCGGAAGAATCAGGAGGAAGGGGAATTACAGCAAAAATGACCAGAAGATCACGAAACAAGCAGAGGTGGACAAAACATACCTCGAAGCAAGTGTCAAGGGTCGAAGTGACAAAGCGCCTTTGAGCTTGGCTCCCTCCCCCGCCCTGCCCTGAGCTGCTGCACGAGAGCCACCCCCTCTCCCCTCAGCCGTGTTTCCTCATCTGCAAACTCACGCCCGCCCCGGGCCCACCGTCCAGCCCTGTGTCCACGCGTCCCCCCGGAAGCACACAAGGGAGGAAGCCTATTCATTTTCCATTTCTTGACACTCGCCTTCCTGGACAAGTCCTGCGCTTAGAAAGAGGTCTGTGGTCAAGCAGAACTAAGCAGAGGTTAGAAAACCGCAGCCTGGCCTCAGCCCTGTCCTGCCAACAGCACCGGCCGCCAAGGACGGGCCCCCGCGGGCGCCGGGGCTGTCCCTGCCATCAGCGACAGGTCTGGTGAGACCTGATTAGATCCAAAGAGGAGACACGGGCACCGTGGCGGGGTGGCATGCGTGCCGCGGGTTTGGACTCCTCCCTCCCACCCGGTGCCACGGGAGCACGGTAGGGGACCGCGGACTCTGCCTGCGTGGAGGCTGGAGGGCTTCTCAGAGGAGGTGATGCTAGATTCGGGCTTTGAAGTATAGGCCCGATTTTTCCAGGTGGTAGAAGCAGGTGATCCTGGCGAAGGATCTGCCAACCCAAATGCCTAGAGGCCACGCGGGGATGGCATTGAAGCAGCCGCAAAACGGCAAATGTGCAGCGAGCATCCGGGTATGTCTGGCGTCGGTCCTAAGTGCTGGCGATAGGGAGGTGGATAATGCCAGAAGTGAGGTGGGTGGGGCAGAGAGGAGGGGCCTGGGGACAGACCCCCTTGGGGGGGGGGGGGGCAAGGGGTCATTGGCTGAGGGTTCCTCGGTCCCTCAGCGGCAGGTTTTCCTTCCAGAAGCCCAAGGCAATAAGGGCTGGGGCCAGAAGGACCTGGAACGTCAGATCTGAGGTCCCTACTTGAGGGGTTGGGACGGGCCCTGTGCTTGTGTGTGTCCATCCTGAGTGGCTCTGAAATGGAGACTTTCAGTTTCCCTTTCAGTCCCATATATATTTGGGCCCGGGATTGTGTGTTAATTACACACACCGCAGGTGACTGGGTCCACACGGCTAAAGAAAAGCCGGACGGTGTTCAGCTCAGAAGATGATTCCTTGGTAAGTGTGGAGGGTGGGAACCCCTGCCCCTCTACTCACCCTCCAAACAGCTCTTGAAGGAAGAGGGATCCTAGCTCGGATTTCTAGCCCAAGGTCGTGCCCCAAAGAGCGGCATAGCCAGGATTTAAAGCCGGGTTTGTCTGACTTTTCCCCCTCCACCCCCATGCCCCGAAACAGTGGAGAGGGAGGGGGGCACTGCTCATCCCAGGTTCCAGACTGCCTGCGACCTGAGCAGACCCCAGGAAGGAGGTGGATATCGGGGAGGGGGGAGGTGTGGGGAGTGGGCCGGGGTGCTCATCCCTTTGGGGAATTTGGAGGAAGCAGAGGAGGTGAGGTAACCTGACTGGCAAAGCATTTCTTCTGAGATGCAAACGATCAAGGACTCAGGGTCGTGTCACCCACAGTGTCTCTGAGCCACCTGCTGGGTGCCAGGCTCTGCGGGGAAACTGAGGACCAGAAAGGGACCTTCTGGCCCAGGGTGCCCGGACCGGGAGACAGAGCAGGATGTCCGGGCTTCCCCCGCTGCCCCGCGCCGGGCCCTCTGTTCCGCGTGCCGTGGGGCGGTAAGAGGAGAGGCAGGCGTGGGTGCCCCTGTCAGCAAGAAGGGAGGCGGTGCCGGGGTGATAAGGGCCACATTGTGATACGGTCCCACCTTTATACTCTTAAGACACCAAGCTGGGGACTCCTGGGGACGGCTGTGCGGGCGTGAACTTACCCCTGTGTGTTCACACAGGCCGAGTCAGACCTAGTATGTGGTCGTTAAAATCTCATTTCTCCCCAAACACCTGGTGTTCCCTTCCACCCTGGCCGCCAAGAGCCTGGGCGAGTCCCTTCCCCTGGCGACTGTTTGTTCACATCTTTTAAAAAACTGGCTTCAGTGTTTTCATGTTGATTTGGAGGATCTCTCGCGTATGATGCCTGCCCCGCTCTTGTCTGTTCTCAGCATCCATCAGTCGTGTCTCCTAAGGTGTCCTGTGCAAGTTTCCTTTTTTTTTTTTTTTTTTTGAAGTTTATTTACTTTGAGAAAGTCAGAGACCTGTGGCGCTCGGAGGAGGGGCAGAGAGAGAGAGAGAGAGAGAAGGAGGGAAAGAGAGGATTCTAAGCAGGTTCCTTGTTGTCACTGCAGAGCCCGATGTGGGGCTCGATCCCATGAACGGTGAGATCATGACTGAACTGAAACCAAGGGTGGGACGCTTAACAAACTGAGCCACCCAAGCGCCCCTGCAATTTTTCATTTTTAGCAGGTCAAATAGCTGTACCTTTCCCTTTGTGGTCTGGGATTTCCATCTTGATTAGAAAAGTTACCCCAACTCAACATCATTATTGTTTTGTTTAACATTTCTTCCGGGATATTTGTAGCTTTTTCTTTCTAGCTTACGTATGGGTTCTGTTGGGACTGAGCGATTGATTTTTAAAGAGTTTATTTTTTTTAAGTAATCTCTATGCCCCACGTGGGGCTTGCACTCACAAGCCCGAGAGCAAGAGTCGGACGCTCCAGTCACTGAACCAGCCAGGCGTCCCATTGTTGGGGTTGATTGATTGAGTTTGTACAAGCTTGTTGGTTTTTTCCTTCTCTTCCTCCTACTCCCAGATGTTACTTCTCCCCCCCTCCCCCCCCCTCCCCCTCGTCCTCTTCTTCCCCCCCCCCTCCTCCCACTCCTTCTCTTTCTTCAGAACGTCTTTAATGGCTGCCACTGCAATCCAAAGGAACACGGCTTTTTTTGTGTGCTTTCCAAGGAGCAGTAAGGAAGCGGCCTCCACCCTTCTCCCCAACGGGCAGCAGTTAGTGAACAAAATTGGGCTAAGGCTGGAGGGAGCTGGGCCCGACATCCACACCTGGCCTGGCCACCCTGGGGGGAGGGGAGGCTTTGGAAGGCGCTTCCTGGGTCTCAGGCATCGGGACACCCATGTTTTTCTGCGGTTTCCTCTTCCTCTGTCTCCTCATATAAAAATATTATGGCTGGAGTACGGAGACACGAAGAAGTGACTGGAAACTCTCAGAAATCTGAGAGGCCTGTCAAAAGCGCACTAAATCAATAGGGTAATTTGTATCAAACCTGAGGCACAGTCTTATTTGTTCTCGGCCAGAAAGAGCTTCTCGTCGAGATAGACAAGAAAAACAAAGAAAATTACTCAACGGTGAATGAAACTGGGGTGTGCCATGACTCCTACACCCCAGATCTTAGCCTGGCCGTGCCCTGGAGGGCAGGCAGAGGGTGCCCCCGGGCAGAATAGGAAATGCGGCAGGGAACAGACAGGGCCTCTGCGTGCTCTGCGTGCTCAGAGTGGAGGAAACAGAAGGCTGCAGAAGATACAGAGAACCACGGAGAGGACAGAGCACAGGCAAGCAGAGCCTGGAGAGTGACAGGGGTCGGGGGAGAAGCAGGCAGGGGAGGGAGCCTTTGAGCTGGGCATCTAAGCACAGATCAACGTTTACAAGTTAAGGAGGGTGGGGAAGGGCTTTCCAGGGGGAGGGAGCAGCCTGAGCACAGGTGTGGAGGCTGAGGTTAATCAGAAGCGAGGGGCAGAACATTGGACCTGCTTGGGCAGTAGGGCAAACGACCCTTGATCTCGGGGTTGTGAGTTCAAGGTCCACGCTGGACGTGGAGCCTACTTAAAACAAAAATTTTAAAAGAGAAAGGAAAAAAAAAAAAAAAAAAAAAGCAAGGAAGCTCGGGGTCCGTGAGGGTGCCTGGACCAAGGCAACGGGGAAGACAGAGGTAGCAGTGACAGGGGGATGGGGCGCCAGGCTCAGGCGTTTGAACCTGGTGCTGCCTTCACCTCCCCTTTCCCTACCCGAGGAGGATATCCCGCAGCCACTTGCAGGGAGATGCTCTGGTGAGGACCTCTGCCCTACGGCATCTGGAGAGCTTAGAGCTGGTGAGGATGGGAGGGCTCCCAGTCTGGGCCACGTCGTCGCACGGGACAGGCCCCTCTCTTCTCCTCCTCCCCACAACCTGGCCGGGAACTGACCAGTCAGCAGGCTAGTGAGGGGGGGCGGCGGCCCCCCCCTCCACGTACGAACCAAGCAGGAGGGAGCAACGTCCAGGATCAAAACCCAGCAGACACCCAAGACAAGGGTCAGGGCCAGGCCAAGAACAGCACAGGACGGGAAGGACGAGCCCGAGGGTGCAGACACATCTGCAAACGTTTGGTGTCATCCAGGGTCTGGTTCTGTCTACCCACGCAGTCCTCCTGGTCTCTGGTGCTCGTGCTTCATGATGTCACTTGGCGGCCTGGGCTCCCAGGGTCATGCAGCATTCAAAGCAGAAGGAGGAGAAGGCGGCCAGCCAGATCTCCTCTCCCGCCTGTCCCTTGCAGCAGGAAGGCCCCAGACCCCCCCCCCTAAACCGACTTCCCCTTGTGTCTTGTTTTGGCCAAGGCCGGGCCGGACAGTCGCCCGTCGCTGCAGAGGCGCCCAGAAAACACATACCTGGTGTCCAGGCCCCAACATGAGAGGCAGCAGGGTGGGGGGGGGGGAGGCCGGTGGCCTGGGAGGAGGTGGAGGTGCGTGGGAACTGGCGGGTTGGAAAGCAGCAGAGGCCGCGAGCATTGCTTTGTCGTTAACATCAAGGCTGAGAGCAAAGATCAGTAGCTAGAAACGGATCAGTGTCAGCAAATGACCAGGGCAGCAGTGGCTTGGACAGAGGAAGATAACCTGCTGGGAGCCGGCCGCACCGTTGCTGGGCCTGCCTTGATCCCCTGACAGCTGCCCGTGTGCGTTCTTTCCTCCTCGGTAGAACCCATGATACCCACCGTGTAGATCCACACCCTTACCTTCCGAGCCTTTCAGCCTGAAGCCGCCAGGCACACTCCTGTGGTTGAGGAAGAGGGCGTTAGAACTGATTCTAGGATCTGGGCTTCAAGGGAGGCTCTTAAGGAAACAGGGCCGCTCTAGATGGGGTGCTGTGCTGCCGAAAGGGGGGGCATTTCTATCAGTGCGTGTCTCAGTAATCTTATCTATTCCAGGAGAGGACAGAGGGCGATGCCTGGCTCAGTCGATTAAGCTTAAGCGTCTGACTTTTTTTTTTTTTTTTTTTTTTTTAATTTTTAAAAAAATTTTTTTTGATATGGTTGCAAAAATGATTTCAGGAGTCGATTCCTTAGTGCCCCCTTCCTCGTGGAGCCCCTCCCCCCTCCCGCAACCCCTCCAGGAACCCTCAGTTTGTTCTCCATATTTATGAGTCTCTTCTGTTTTCTCCCCCTCCCTGTTTTTGTATTATTTTTGCTTCCCTTCCCTTATGTTCATCTGTTCTGTGTCTTGAAGTCCTCACGAGTGAAGTCATATGATATTTGTCTTTCTGTAATTTCGCTTAGCATAATACCCCCCAGTTCCATCCACGTAGTTGCAAATGGCAAGATTTCATTCTTTCAGATTGCCAAGTAATACCCCATTGTCTATATACGCCACATCTTCTTTATCCATTCATCCATCAATGGACATTTGGGCTCTTTCCAGACTTTGGCTCTTGCCGATAGTGCTGCTATATACATGAGGGTGCGTGTGTCCCTTTGAAACAGCACCCCTGTGTCCCTTGGATAAATGCCTAGTAGTGCAATTGCTGGGTCGTAGGGTAGTTCAATCTTTAGTTTTTATTTATTTATTTATTTATTTATTTTTAATTTTTTTTTAACGTTTATTTATTTTTGGGACAGAGAGAGGCAGAGCATGAACGGGCGAGGGGCAGAGAGAGAGGGAGACACAGAATCGGAAACAGGCTCCAGGCTCCAGGCTCCGAGCCATCAGCTCAGAGCCTGACACGGGGCTCGAACTCACGGACCGCGAGATCGTGACCTGGCTGAAGTCGGATGCTTAACCGACTGCGCCACCCAGGCGCCCCCTATCTTTAGTTTTTTGACGAACCTCCATCCTGTTTTCCAGAGTGGCTGCACCAGCTTGCACTCCTACCGACAGGGCAAAAGAGATCCTCTTTCTCCGCATCCTCGCCAACATCTGTGGTTGCCTGAGTTGTTGACTTTTAGCCATTTTGACAGGTGTGAGGTGGTATCTCATTGTGGTTGTGATTTGTATTTCCCTGATGAGGAGTGACGTTGAGCATTTTTCCTGTGTCGGTGGGCCATCAGGATGTCTTCTTTGGAGAAGTGTCTATTCATGTCTTTTGCCCATTTCTTCACTGGATTATTTGTTTTTTGCGTGTTGAGTTTGAGAAGTTCTTTATAGATTTTGGATGCTCACCCTTTATCTGATATGTCGTTTGCAAATATCTTCTCCCATTCCGTCGGTTGCCTTTTAGTGAAGCATCTGACTCTTGATTTCAGCTCAGGCCATGATGAATCTCATGGTTTATGAGACCCAGTCCCATGTTGGACTCTATGCTGAAACAAATATGCATAAAAAAAAAAAAAGGGGGAGAGAACAGAACAAGGACAAAACTTGCTAGAGAAGTAACAGTCATTCTTTTTAGCCAAGGGAGGGAATATTACCTGGAGGGAGCGCCAGGCTAGCCAGCCAATGTCAGGGCCTCTTGTGGTTTTCTTTCTCAGTCCCTTATCACAATCATATAATAAATAGAAGGGGGAAAAATGCCCATAGGTATATATGTATTTTTTAAGTTTATTTTGAGAGAGAAAGCACTAATGGCAGAGGGGCAGAGAGGAGGGATCAAGAGAGAGAATCCTAAGCGGGCTCCACACTGTCAGTGCGGAGCCGGACGCGGGGCTCGAACTCATGAACCATGATCATGACCTGAGCCGAGATCAAGAGTCAGATGCGTAACTGACTGAGCCATGCAGGTGCCTCCTGGCCTTTCCTTCCTGAGCCAAAGTCAGCTGCTCAACCAGCTGACTGAGCCACCCAGGTGCCCCCAAAATGCCCATATATATTAAGACTCCCTTTCTTATTAAGATTAATTATAACTACCTTTTTTCACCTTTATAGCTACCTTTTTTTTGTATATTTTGTCTCATTTGCCCTCATTTGAATATTATTAGGAACTCATGGCTTTTCACTGATTCAGCCTGGCCCAATGAAGCATGATCATAATGATCATTATCTATTATTATTATGTAATTTGTTGGGACTTCCCAATGGTGCCCTGTTGAGCACGGCTCTGAACCTCCCTGAAATCATCTTTGCCCCCTGGAGTGTGGACATTGCAGACCCGTGGAATCCAGGAATTCAGTTTCCCCCCCAAAGAGTCTTGCTACCTTTGAGTAAGAAACACCCACGGGTGCCTATGTGAGTGGGTGACATATTGCTAGGAAATATATCTGTTGAAGGTTAGAGTTCACTCTATTCTAGTTTAACTCATGTTATCATCCCACTTTTTTTTTTTAACGTTTTATTTATTTTTGAAAGAGAGAGAGATAAAGAGAGAGCACATGCATGTGAGCAGGGGAGGGGCAGAGAGAGAGGGAGACACAGAATCTGAAGCAAGGCTCCAGGCTCAGAGCCGTCAGCCCAGAGCCTGACGCGGGGCTCGAACCCACAGACCGCGAGATCATGACCTGAGCCAAAGTCGGACGCTCAACCGACTGAGCCACCCAGGAGCCCCAAACCTTAAAACAAAATAAGATGGCAACCCCAAGAGCACCCCCTCATGGAGTGTGTGTGACTAATCAGTGAGGGAACCATAAGGAGCCCTGCCCCTCCTAGATACTTGATCCACATTAGCTATCGTCAGTTAATCAACACAGATGTGCCTGACCTCGAGTAACTTCTAGAACATTCCGTCCCATCTTTTCTTCTGTGTTTGGTTTTATTGCCTCTATAGCTTCTCAGATGGCAGTCTCCCTCTCTGATTGTCTTCTCCTTGTGCCCCAACAGGACAGCAGGACTGTGACCTGGCTTGGGAACAAGCTGGAGTGAGGTGAGTAACCTTCCTTAAATAGCAGCCAGTAGAGGCCAGGAGACAGACGGACATATCAGGTTAAGTCCCTTTTGGCATTTGTGACCTTCCCAGAGGGAACCACCAGGGACCTGGCCCCTTGCTGCTCCCTGTGGTCACCGCTGGCTCACACTTGACCGCACAATTTGTTCTCCCTTTCTCAAGGGTGAAGCGACCCCTCCTTCCGACCGGGACGCAGACGCAAGCTGGGGGGAAAAGTCTGAGATCCCACTGCTGGCACCATACCCAAGAAGCCTGTGGGCTCTACCCAGGTAGTCACCTTCCAGATGATTCCCGGAATTGGGGGAGTGCCTCCAGCTGAGTTAACCCACAGTGGAATCAGTCCCTTGATGATGAGGGACTGATGAGTGTCCTGGGCCCTTCAAGAGGGACCAAGGGGGAGCCCCCACCCTTGGTCCGGGAGTCCATAGGGGCCCCTCCCTCCTGTCCTCTTCTCAGGGTCATGGCAAAGGTGCTCACTTCCTCCCTCCCCCTGCCGCCCATCCAATGACCCAGAAGTGAGGCCGGGACAGCCCACAGGAGGTGGGGGACAGGAGGGGGGAAGGAGAGAAGGAAGGAGTCCTGAACTAGTCACCTTGGAGGCTTCTCCTGCCCTCTTGACCTGTCCAGCCCGGCTGGGGACGACTGTGGGGCTTTACCAAACCATTCCCTCCAGCTCTCGCCCTGCGGCCGGCCTGACTGCTGGTCCGCGAGGGACGGTGGGCCACTGAACTGGACCCCAGGGTGGCCTTGGCCACCTCCCACCCGTGTGACCCGGGGTGCCTTGCCTAACCTCACCTGTAAAATGAGAATATTCCCTTATGTTGTTGTAACGATCAAATATAATGTGTGTATGTGGTCTGGGCCGGGACCTGCCACACAGTGTGCTGGCCCTGAGTCTCGTCGCTGTCCCTTCTACACGGACCCTGTCAGCTCCAGGTGGAAACCTCCCCTCCCCCAGCACCCCCCGGCTGCCACCTGCCCATGTCTCAGGAATAAGCCCCCGACATATCAGATGTGAAAGCTGAGGCGAGGCCTGAGGGTATTCACCTCAATAGCCCTGCCTAGGCCGGCTTGCAGTGAATACACAGATTTAGTGTTGTGGGTTCCCTCCAGCTAAGCCCCGGTTTCCTCTCTCCCTTAGCGAAGCAGGAAGAAGAAAAAACAAAACAACTCTTCACTTTTTTCTTTTCTTTCCCCATCCACAGAGCGATATGGAGGATATCATTGAGTATTTCCAGGACTCAGTGAGCTGGGATGACCTACATCTCCTGCTGACTGACCATGAAGCCTGGGAGAGCTTCATGGCTGAGGCCAACTTGTCCAGGTAACCCCCCGGGGATGCCCCAAGGTGGTCCCCAGATCTCCGCGTGGCAGTATCCTCGAGCTGGGGTTGAGTGTGCTCCTTCTCAACAATCTGTGAGGAATATGTCTCCCATGGCATTTGCTGGCAGGGAATGGCCTCGGGTTGAGGAGAGATGAGACCTGCAGAGGGCAAGTTAGGTGACCTTGGGCCTGAACCTAAAGCAGACCTATCTCTGCCTTGGTTTCTTCATCTGTTCAATTTTATCGGGGAGAAACCAAGATAATGTACGTGAAGGGCTTGGCATTGTCACCGACACATAGTAGGTGCTCAATCAATGTTAACTTTTTATTTTTTTTTAAGCTTGTTTATTTTGAGAGCGAGACAGAGACAGCACAACTGGGGAAGGGGCAGAGAAAAAGAGGGAGAGAGAGAGAGAGAGAGAAAGAGAGAGAGAGAGAGAGAGAGAATCCCAGGCAGGCTCCACATTGTCAGCCCAGAGCCCGACTCAGGGCTCGAACTCATGAACCATGAAATCATGACCTGAGCCGAAATCAAGAGTTGGACGCTCAACCGACTGAGCCACCCAGGGGCCTCAATGTTAACTTTTTAGAAGATTGCCACGAAGAGACAGGGGCCAAGGGTCTTCTTCCTGGAGATGAGGGACCAGTCCGAAGAACGCTGATGTACCAGTCTGTGCCCCTGGGCATTTGGACTAAAGCCTTCCCTCCCCATCTAAGGAGTTGTATGAATACTGCAGGATCCTGCTGGCCCACGAGGTGGAGAGACTGGAGTGGAGTTGGACCAAGCTGTGTTGGATCCAGACTCTATCTCTGTCCAGCCCTGTGTTTCTGGGTGTGTAGTCTATTAGTCATTTGTTCAACGTAAACAGTAACTCATCCTGATAAGATTATGGCGAAGGCCTTAGCATGAACTGCAAGGTCAAAGGTGGGGGCCCAAGGGCAATCGTCTTGTCCAAAGGCCGGGATGGACAAGAGGAAGTCTAGGTTGGAGGACTAGGTAAACTTGGGCAGCAAGGCAAGGACTGAGTGAAGCTCTCGGCACAAAACTCGAGGTCCTGGGAGAGGGAGAGGAGACATTTGTTCCCTTCCTTCTTTAATCTCCTCACCACTAGGCATGCAGGGCCATGGCGGGGAGGGGTGTTGTCTCCTCCATACTTTGCCTGGGAGCTGGGGGGGTCTTGACCACCATTTGGAAGCCTCTCCTCTTCTTACAAATTTTTTTTAATGTTTACTTTTGAGAGACAGAGTGACAGCATGAGCAGGGGAGGGGCAGAGAGAGAGGGGGACACAGAATCCGAAGCAAGCTCCAGGCTCCGAGCTGTCAGCACAGAGCCCGACGTGGCACTCGAACTCACAAACCGCGAGATCATGACCTGAGCCGAAGTCGGATGCTTGCCCGACTCAGCCACCCACGCGCCCCATCCTCTTCTACGTAGAGCAGCCCCAGACCAGTGGGAGCCAACATGGCTCTGCGACAACTAGTGGCATCACAGGGGGCAGCTGCTAATTCTGTACTCAATTCTGGGGAGACGCACAAGTCCCCACCAGAGGGGAAAGTACTTCCTCCACCAGCTTGTCCAAATGCGGTCTTTTCAGGCTTAGGGTTTCATACAGATGGCTCTCCAAGTCTCTCATAGCTTTAAGCAATTTCATAAAAGTTGCACATGGCGTTGATGTGCATGCCTATGAAGCTGTCACCAGCTAAGGTGTGAGTTAGGCTGATGACACCTGAGAGGTTGGGGGTGCTGGGTGGTGGGTCGGGAGTCAACGATGTGAACTGGAAGAGTCTGGGGGGAACCAGGGTAACGGACGTCCTGCTTCTCAGTCAGTTGGGGCAGTCACTGGGCCGTGGTCCCCAAACCGCCGTGAGGTTGGATGATTCCCTGAAAGTGTTCACAGGGCGCACTGAGAGCTGTCACATTCAGTCACGTTGTCTTCCAGGCAAGGGTGCAGGTGGCCACGGGGAGAGACGCATGGGGAAGGGTCTGGGAGGGTTTCAAATGCGAAGCTTCCGTCGTCCTCCTCCGGACGCGTGACCGTCCTGCGTTCAATCTGTGACAGTGCAAATGGAGCATGGCCCACCAGGGAAGCTCACACTGTGAGAGAAAACACTTTGACGTTGATTAAAAAGACGACTTAATTCAGGGCTGTGGCCATAGAACGGAGATCAGGCTCTGCTCCGGATACAGAGCTGGGGATTTATAGCCGAGGAGCGGGGCGGGGGTGGCGGATGAGAAATCACTGAGAGAAGAAGGTGGACGACGCTTGCTAAACGGACCCAGCAGGGTTCTTGCTGAAGGCAGGTCAAGAGCTTCCACATCAGGGACGCCCGGGTGGCTCAGTCGGGAAAGCGTCCGACTCTTGATTTCAGCTCAGGTCATGATCTCACGGTTTGCGAGATCGAGCTCCGTGCCGGGCTCTGCACTGACAGTGAGGCGCCCGCTTGAGATTCTCTCTCTTCCTCTCTCTCTTGCCCTCCTCTGCTCGTGCTCTCTCTCACACTCAAAGTAAATAAAAAAAAAATAAAAAAAAAAAGAGCTTCCACATCAAAGGTGGGATTCGATCAGATATCAAAGGTGATCCGTTATCAAGAGTGGGAAGATTCTCATTAAACTGACCTAACAGGGTTCTTGCGAAGCCTGGGCACTATAGGCTGTCACGGACAGGACACAAAAGGCCAAGGTCGACAGGCTACATAGGCACTGCACCTAGTCAAAAAGAGGGCCTAGAAGATCAAGGAGAGAGTCTTTTAGAGTTTTACGGGGGCCCAATGGCATTCGCTGCATGGCTGACCTGTCATCTCCAGCCCCTCCTTGAGGTCACACCCATGCCTTTAGTTTCTAGTGCCTCCGTAGGTCAGAACCGATAGCACATGACCCAAAGCCCCCATCATACATCGCGATGTCAGGCCAAAGGCCCAGGCAAAGGAAGACAGTCCTATCCTTCTAGGACCCTTACCATTCCAGGCAGGGGCCTAGAGGTCACTTCCCAGTAGCCAAGGGCAGAGGGCAGACCTTTCTGTGGGTAAGGTTCATCCTTCCGTACACACTAAGCTTCTCCGAACGAAGGTTTTTCTGCTCCAATGCCACTTCCCTTTGTTCATCTACAAACACTGTGGCGCTGAGAGTGTTGACCTGCCCTTGAGCGAGAAGCCATCTTTCCCGAATACCTACCAGTTGGGGCGCCCGGGTGGCTCCGTTGGTTGAGCGTCTGACTCTTGATTTGGGCTCAGGTCGTGATCTCAACGGCCCAGACCCTCCTTGGGATTCTTTCTTTCCCTCTCCCTCTGCTTCTCCTTCCCCCCACCCGCCCCTCGAAGTAAATAAATAAATACCCTTAAAAACATGCCTCCCACTTAGAGCATCTGAAGAGAAGCACGTATTCATTCCCTGGCTGAGTATGTGTTGCGGAGCACGAGCAAGGTACAGAACGTGTGTCACATGGCAAGAAACATTCTTCGCATCTGTCAAACTCTTGTCCATTTGATTTGTAGTGCACGTTCTGCGGTCGATGCGGGAAAGATCGAATCAAGCCCACTTGACAGCTAAGCTTTTCCTAATCGCTTGACCTTCACCTTTCCAGGGAGGAGGCAGGTCTGTGTGAGCTGGAGGCAGACCTGTGTATGGAGGGCAGAGAGAGGATCCAAAGAGACCACCTGGAGGAGAGGTTTTTGAACGAGTATCCCCGGTTGAAATGGGAGCTTAAGGGGCAAATACGAAAGCTCCACAAGCTGGCGGACAAGGTTGACAAGGTACACAGGGGCTGCACCATCTCCAACATCGTGGCCAGCTCCGCCAGCGTGATGTCTGGGGTCCTGACCATCCTGGGCCTGGGTCTGGCACCTGTGACCTCAGGGATCAGTCTGTCACTCTTGGTAACGGGGGTGGGGCTGCGAAGAGCATCTGCTGTGACCACTGTGTCCAGCGGAGTACTCGAGCACATCGTCCGCGGAAGCCAAAGCCCGTCGCCTGGCATCAGCTGGCGATAACAGAGGGAAGACCATTGCAGAGGCTCTGTGTCAGAACACACCCCGGATGTTTTCTGTAACAAAGAGCTTCGTGCAAGTCCTGCGAAACATTGGAAGGAGTGTTCGTGCCATCAGGCTGGCCAAAGCCAGTCCTCACTTGGCAGCCTGTGCCAAGAGGTTCACGACAGCTGGGAGAGTCTCAGTTCGAAGTGACAAGCGGGTGCAGAAAAGTTTTTGGAGGCACTGTTCTGGGAATGATCAGAGGAGCCCGGATCATCGACGTGGGCACCGTGGGCACCTCCCTTCTGGCGGGTGTGGCCCACCTTGTGGAAGAACCAAAGCACCTGCATCAGGGGGCAAAGGCAGAGTCGGCTGAAAGGCTGAGACAGCAGGCCCGGTTGCTAGAGAGCAAGTTGAAGGAGCTCAACCGGATGTAGGAAAGTCTAAAGTAGGGCCCGGCCCCGCGACCTCCAAACAGGGCAGGGAGCAGGGTCATGTGCGGGACAAAGGCATGGAGGTACCTCATGAGAGGGGAAGAGGGGGCCAAATAAAATTTTTGAGGGGCGCTCGGGTAGCTCAGTTAGTTACGCATCTGACTCTTGGTTTCAGCCCAAGTCACCAGCTCACAGTCCGCGGGTTCGATCCCTGACAGTGTGTTGGGGCTCCTCAATGACAGTGGAGGCTGCTTGGGATTCTCTCTCTCTCCCTCTCTCTCTCTGCCCCTGCCCTGCTCACTCTCTCTCTCTCTCTCTCTCTCTCTCTCAAGATAAATAAATAAACTTAAAAAAAATTAAAAAATTTTTGGAATGTGGTGTAAAGGAGGTTGACATTTCTGTAGCTGCACACGGCGGGGGGGAGGGATTAATGCCAATGACAGGGGCATCAAAGAGAAGGAAGGCAGGCGGAAGCTGGAAGAAGGAGGGAGGGGGCTAGAGAGTGAGGGGGGTGGACCAAAGAGGACACGGAGGACATGGCTCAAGAGAGATGTGGAGGAACAAGCGTGGGAAAGCCAGGAATACTACAGTTAGACTTGTTGGCATATGGAGAAGTGCCTCTCCATTGACCCTCCCCATGGTTTGAGGGACATGCCAGCGAGGATGGACTCCCCCCTTGCTGAGGGGACTCCAGCCCTACCTTTCCTGTCTCGACCCACCTTCATCTTCCAACAGGCTCGCCTCAGGTAGACGGCGACTTCCTCATGATGGTTGGTGGCCGCGACAAGGATGCTGGCCGCAGTGCTGGCGGTGCGGATGATGGCAGTGGGGTGGGGGAAACGTTTGGCAAGTTGCTGCTGCTCTTAGGGACCAGGGCACACCGAGACACCGATGAAGTTCCAAAGGCTGAGTTGGAATAGTGGTTGATTTGGGGAAAAAAACAAAAAACAAAAAAGGGAAGAAAAGCGGAAGACGCCAGCAACAGGTCGAGGAATCTTGCCACATGTCGAGGAGATCAAGCAGCTTGGGGCCAAGAGACATCGCCTCTCTGAGCCTCAGTTTCCTCATAGTCTGGGGGGGGGGCGCGGGACAGTACTAGGCAAGATGGTATTTCAAAAAAATTTTTTTTTAGTTTAGAGAGAGAGAGAGACAGAGTGCGAGCGGGGGAGGGGCAGAGATTGAGGGAGACACAGAATCCAAAGCAGGTTCCAGTCTCTGAGCTGTCACCACAGAGCCTGACACAGGGCTTGAACTCACAAACCACGAGATCATGACCTGAGCTGAAGTCGGATGCTTAACCGACTGAGCCACCCAGGCGCCCAGCAAGATGGAATTTCAGATTCATGTGGCTCTCCCAGTCTTGTGTTCTATAAGCTACTTCAATAAATGTGGACAGCAGGCCTCTGTTGTGTTCATCGAGGGGCTTGCCTGGGCTCTGGACTTCCCTTCCCCATGGGCTTGTCTTCTGGGCTCTCAGGGAGCAAGTCCTCCATTGCTTTTTCCTCAGACCTCAGCACGCTGCAGGCCCCACTGGGACACCCAGGGGGAGCTTGTCCACATCGGGCTTCGGACTGAGCACAGGCGTTTTCCTCAGCTGGTGTCCAGAACCTGGGATTGAGTGATAGATGACGGTGTTTCTCTAGTGGGCAGGAGGGCCGAGTCTTGAACCCCACAGGCTTCTTCCTCCCTCCCTCCCTCATGGAATGTCAAGCATGTCAAGGCCTTCCCTTCCCCACCAAGGAATCATGGCGAGTCTCTCTCTCTTCTTTCTTTCCCAGACCCCACCTGACATCCCTTCTTCCCAGAACTGCCTTGTTCCAGTTCTCTCCCAGCAGGGTGGAAGGCAGGAAACTCCGGCCATCCTTGTCATGTGGCTGGTCGGATAAATGGCGGTCCTATGGGTTCACCAGACCAGCCATCAGATTCTAGGGGAAGGTGCAAAACACTTCGCTGAGCATTCAGGTCTAGCTGTCACCCAGGACTCATTACCAGTGATTTTCTGCACGGGGGTTAAAGAGAAGGATTCGCCGGGTATTTCCCCAACGTTAAGTAACCTAGCCCTTGATGTCTTTCCATGTGCCTCTTGTGCCTTGTCCAATTATTTAAGGCTCTACTCAAAACAAGTAGTATTGCTATTTCAGGCTTCCGAATCTTTGGCGAGTGGAATAATTCTTGGCTCCGCGGCCTGTTATTTTCCTCACCGCCCTTCATTCATCCCGTTACAGACCAGAACTGTAATGTGCAACCCCTCTGCTGTGTTCCCCAAGAGGTAGAGAGCCCTCAAGGCGTGAGGTTTGACGCCTTCGGATGGTTAGCATTGGGTATGGCCAGGAGCAACAGATCAGCCACCACAAATTCTGTTCTTGGTATTCTTTGAAAAAAATTTTTTATGAGTTTATTTATTTTTTGGAAGAGAGAACAAGGGAGGCGCAGAGAGGGAGGGAGGGAATCCCAAGCAGGCCCACGCCGTCAGCACAGAGCCCGATGTGGGACTCGAACTCACGAACCGTGAGATCATGACCTGAGCTGAAACCAAGAGTCAGATGCTCAACCGACTGAGCTGAAACCAAGACCATGACCTGAGCTGAAACCAAGAGTCAGATGCTCAACCCAGAGGCCCCTGTTCTTTGTTTTCATTGAATGTCATCCACCAACAGGGAAGGAACTGGGTGGGGCCAGCCTCTGAGATGAAAGATCATAGGACACAGGGGCTGTCCTTCCCCATCATACAGTGACCGTGGATGTGGAGAGTTCCTGGTGTCTGCCTCAGCCGCAGGACAGTGGACCCCAGGGTTGTATCAGTGAACCAACCCCGGGGGGCTGGGGGCCCTGATCCTTCAGATGCTGTGACGTCTCCACTATCCTTCAAGTAGCGAAAAAAATCTCAGTGGGATTGTTAAAAACCCAGCAGCTAAGAATTTGAAAGGCTCATATGTAGGCATCTGGTGGCTCAGAGGGTCAGGAGACTGGTTTAGAAGACAGAGTTTGTACTTGCCGTCAGAATGCGAATGCTGGGAGCGTCTAATCCTGGCACATCGAAAGATGATGTGTTAATTGAGCTGAACCCGCGGGGAGAAAGGCCGAGGGGTACACAGCAGGCTGGACAGACGCAACAGGCAGAAATCCAGCTGGCCCCTCGGAGGGCTCTTGAGCTGGGATCAGGAAAGACAGCGGTGTCGAATTGCTGCTAGATCTTGGAAGGGGCAGGGTCCAGAGAGGATGATGGGGACACTAACCTGCACGAGGGAGACAAGATAGAGAAAATGGCCAAAGGCTCTTTGCAAGGCTAGAGATGAGGGTTTGATAAGAACCACGGAGGGAAGGCTAAGCTCTGAGCAGATTTGAGTAGGGAGATCAGAATGGAGTGTTTCAGAAGTGAATTCGTGAGTTTCATGGTGACAAGGATATAGCTGGGGAAGTGAGTCTGCACCTTGAGAAGCAAAGGCAGGGGGACGCTGGGATGTCAGAGGGACAGCGGTCAGGGAGGTTGGGACACACTCAAGGGGCTGGGCGTGGGAATCATGGGCGGTGTTTGGGTCCGAGTTGGGTGTTAGGCTGGTGGCAGATGAACTCACCGACAGAATCGCCCGGCTCCGGGAAGTGAGGGGCCAGATTTGTTTCCATGACAGAAACCACTGGTAGATCTAGAACTTCTTGGCTTCCTGTCTCCAGTGTGGTGGGCCCTGCGTGGTGGACGCCAGAGGCATGCAAACAATGGGAAACCGGGGCCTACACCCTGAAGAACAAGGAAGGAGGGCGCTCTGACCCAGAAAACAGGGCCGACACTACCCAGGCTTGAGAAGGAGCTGGACCACCTTAAGAAACCAGATAAGGTCATCCCTGGGCCTGTATGAAATGAGACCAGGGGCCAAAGAGGAGCCACGGAGGGTGTCCGAGGCTTGTCTCACCTCCACATGGAGGAGAGGTTACTGGAAGCAATGTTACCACAGCAGTCGCATGGGTCACCCAACGCCTGGAAACTCAAAGGCCCAAAGACGTGTGACTTGGGGAAAGGGCCGCCGATGGGGTGTGTTGGCCTCCTGACTAGAGTCCTACCCTCTCCCCCTTTGCTACACCTTGAATTTGAATTCCACAGCCTACTGGTCTCTTCTGAGTTATCTTCGTGTTCATCCAGTCTGCCGGAGCCTTAGCTCACGTGAATGTTGGAAAGGTGTCCCAATGGGGCCTGCACCCCTCCCATGGCCACATCTGTCCCCAGGGTTACAGAGCTGTCTAGCCAATGACAGAAAGAATGAGGAGAGGGGACCTGGGTGGCGGTTGAGTGTCTGACTCTTGATTTCGGCTCAGGTCATGGATCCCAGGGTCGTGGGATTGAGCCTCACATCGGGCTCTGTGCTGAGTGTGGAACCTGCTTAAGATCCTCTCTCTCTCTCCCTCTGCCCTTCTCCCCCAATTGCACATGTGCTCTCTCTCTCAAATTTAATAAAAGAAAAGGAAAGGAAAGAAAGAAAAGGAAAGGAATGAGGAAAGGAAAGGAAAGGAAAGGAAAGGAAAGGAAAGGAAAGGAAAAGAAAAGAAAAGAAAATTGTCCCCAGTAGAACCTAAGGAGTGACCTTTGGTGTCAACGTTGGCAGGACTTTTTTGTTTGTTTGTTTTAATGTTTATTTATTTTTGAGAGAGAGAGAGAGAGAGAGAGAGAGAGAGAGAGAGAGAGAGAGAGGCAGTGAGCGGGGGAGGGACAGAGAGAGAGAGAATCTGAAGCAGGCTCCAAGTTGTCAGTGCAGAGCCTGACGTGGGGCTCAATCCCACAAATCGTGAAGTCATGACCCTGAGCCGAAGCTGGATGCTCAACTGACTGAGCCACCCAGGTGCCCCTGGCAGGACGTTTTTATGTAGCTGAAGAAGTGGACCTGAAAGGCCAGTCCCCCTGCCATTCATTCATTCATTCCTTCATTCCATCAGTCATTTGTTGAACACTCATTGATACCCTCCCCTTCTGTGTGCCTGGCACTTGCAACGTTCTGGGGACATAAAGATCAGACAAGGTCCCATCCTCTCTGGAGCTCAGGAACCAATGGGGCACTCACCTGGGCACAGTGCAGGAGGGGGAGGGGGGCTCCCAGACATGGCCTCTCCGTGTTCATTCCGTCCCTGCCCCAGCCCCTGAAATGCTGGTAGCTTCCCCCACATGTCCCGGGATGTTCCTCCTCTGTTCCTCGGCTAGTGCCCAACCGTCTGCCATCTTACACGCCTGGTCCTCCTTCACCTGGCCGCCTCCAGCTTATCCTTCACGACTCCCTCAGCCCCTCAGAGGGAGCTCCTCAGACCGTCGGTGGGGATTCTAACGCTCCTCTTCTGGGCTCCCACA